AAGGCTTTGACTAACTCCTTCTAGGGTGTAATTCCAAGCTCTCGTATGGCTATGAGACTCACAATCAGGCGTCGCACCTTAGTAAGCTTTCAGGAAAGTCAGGACTATTTATTGCCGCATCAAGGAAAGATGAAATATTTTCTGTTAATACTCTTTATTCCCACATTTTTTGAATCCAAGAAGGAGTTCGATATCCGTCTAAAAAAAATAGAAGAGAGAAAGTCTAATTCCACATCTATTAGGGGCACTGAGTATATGGTGTAAGTCCTTGCTGTGTTAGCTAGGCCACCTGCCTGAAGCGTTGAAGATAGAAAATTATGGTTGCTTGTTGATTGATTCGGCGTAACGAGTGATAGAGATACCTTACGAGGGTTTAAGGAAAGAAGTTCGTTCAGGATGTTAAACTTTTTTCAATCGGGCTGTGGACCCATAGACATTGAGATTGATGAGACTCGGGAACGAGGTCGTCCCCTGTTCGTTGTTTTTCCTGAGAGAAAGATGGTCTCGAAGCACACTCTGGTTCGCGCCAATCCCTTCACTCCAGTAATCCATACCCGGACGTCCGCGATGGCGTAAGCACGTCGCAAGTCTGCTCACCGGTTATTGCATTAAGCACCGGTAATTCACCAAAAGCAAGAGGCTCCTAAAAATTTTAGAGTCAGATTCACGTGCAGCCTTGATCTTATTATACGATATACCACAAAATTTTCTATTCGATGGACCAGGAGGAACAATCGAAAAAAGCTCGACCAGTACGGTATCTCTTTGAATCCTGAATATGGTGATACCCCCGATTGTACCAATCTACATATGTCTATCCCCGTTACTAGTTATTGTCATTTGGATTCCTTTACTTTATTTGTCCGATGAGAAATGCGAAACGAAAGAAGGATCCTCCTGCTGGGAAATTAGATCCTACTCTTTGTCCACAGAAAATGGAGAGAGGAATTGATGTCTTTTTTGAATCCGGCGTCGGGACTGACGGGGCTCGAACCCGCAACTTCCGCCTTGACAGGGCGGTGCTCTGACCGATTGAACTACAATCCCAGGTTGGAACCTTAACCTCTTACGGTTGTCGAGAGATCTCAATCTACTACATCTACTCTAAAGGCAATGCAAAGAGTTCACGCCGGATCGAAGGCATGCTCTTAGTTAGCTTATGAGCGAAGGGTACGAGAGTTGTTCGAAAGTATTGGAGCGAAGGTTTGAAGACGCTCGACCAACGGGAGAGGAAGGAAGAAAGGCGAGGTTCGACCGTAACGTAATAAGGGAGGGTGCCTCCTTTCAGAGTGTGATTCGTCGTTTCCAATGCGGTTAATTGCTATTAGGCTTTTTAGGAAAGTTCCCCTTTTCTTATGCAGTTAGCTCGACTCCAGGTATAGCTCTGAATGGGCATGTAGCCGTAGGCGGGAACTCTTCTTTTTATCTTATTCTTTGGTCAGGCAAGTCGGCTGGTAATCCCAACCGAATAAGCAATCGAAATCGCTACAAGCAACCTATTTCATACCCTTTTCGTCGTACTTCCTCTTCTCCTTCTCTTCTTTCTCTCCCTGCCGAGCTTGTTGGAGTGCCATTGCCAAGATCTAGTGTAATTCCTTTTCCCCGGGAGCCAGTCGCACTAATGCTAGTATCAATAGGAAGATCTTTATTGCTTAGGAGATTTCTGGTTTTCTCCCCTGTAGTGTCAAAGTATTTGGCATAAAGAGCCCTCAATAACTTGCTTGTCCTGTACGCGGATAGAGGGAGTTTCAACTCGGCCTTCTACTAAGAGTGTTGCACAAATTCCTTTTCTTATCCCTTCTAGTTTAAGCCTTTCCTTCCTATGTAACCAAGTCCTCCTATGAACCTATCCCCGCCTAAAGGATAGGATAGGATAGATTACAACTATAAAGTAAAGGCTGTCTTCGAGCAAGCTCTTAGCTTTCATCGTGAGTGAGAGAGGAATTGAGGCTGATTCAACTCAAGCAGCTTGCACATGATTGTCTTGTGTAGTGTGTGATATCTTTCCTTTGTTAAGTGGAAGTGGGAACTATCTAAGATCTATTATCCATCCCTTTCTTGGGCACAGTCAAAGACCTTGCAACTAAGGGCTTCAACCGATGCCTTCAAGCTCACCTAACTTGGTTCTAGTGTTGTGACTGGCACTCTACCAAATCCATCAATTCTTGGATTGGTTGCTTCTGAGAGAGCTGCTCTTCCGACTGCTCGTATTCATCCCTTCCCCATGAGGGCAATCAGCCCCTTGCTTTCATTTGAATATTGGCCCTCGCGCATCACGGCTAGATTTGAGTCACTCATAGCTAGGGCTTTCTATTTCATCAGGACGGCTTCTCCTCTACTGAGCTCATCGCCCCTTTCTATCAGCTTCCGCTACCTGTCTGATGAGGTTTTACGGAGGCTCCTTTGACCGGTCTGAGGCTTTACCTCACCCTATCTCGCTTACTCGTTGTGGTTTACCACGGAATAAACCTGCTTTTCATCGTAAGATGATGAGGGGTCGCTCCTGGAGTTGCTAGTGAGTCCGAGTGAAAGAGTCAACTGCTTGCCCCTTGCGCTTTACCGGTTTGGAATGAGAGCCTTCATGTCAGCCTTCTCACCCATGGAATCCCTCTTATCTTATAGTTCTCTATCTAGCTGCATTCTAACACCCTCTTTAGGCTCTTCGGTATTCCTTCGTGACTGAGGCGGCAAGTCGCTTTCTTGCCCTATTCTGAATAGAACTGGAGCCGGCTTTGTTTAAGAAGTTAAGCTACAATACAATCTCTCTTTCTGGCGCAAAGAATGCCTACTGACAGCAGCTTCCAATGGCAAAAGAAGTACTCTCCTTTGGTCCTCGGGCTAGTTCATCTATCTATCTATCAACTCAGCAAAGTGGCTGCGGGGATTCGATGTGCCATCTGCGGTTCTTAACCGATTCACTCCAAAGCGGTTCACATGCCACCCGTCTTGGTAGATCCTACCCTTTTCCTTGCTAGTAAATACCGAACTTGACTGTGGTAGGCACAATCGCTTTCAATGAAAATTTTGCTTTCTAAATCCGCCCTCTTCAAGCTGTCGAATATAGATAGGAGATCCACTTCAATTTCTCTCCTCTCCCACCTCTCCAGCTTGGGAATAGTTCTTTCTACTGGCTATCTATCTGTACAATGCCAGTTCAAGCTACCTTCTGGATGGAGCAAGAAAAGGTATGCGCAGGCGCAGTAGTTCAAGGCGGACAGGTAAGGGTAGGTAGTAAAGGCTTAGCATAGGCAGGGGATAGGCATTCAAATCACTATCTTAAAATACCGTATATAAGAGAAAGAGTGGCTCGTGCATCTTTTCTTAGACAAGTCTAGTAGGCAAGGGAATTGTTATAGCAAGCATGAGCGGGAATGAGCAATGACTTGAGTTTCGTTCTGGAGTTCGAGCGTTGAAAGTTAGTTCGAGCGGGGGTCTTTTCTTTTTTTTTTAATAGGAAAAATGAATGAAAATAAAAGCGGTGGCCGACAAGGCCCTTTTACCTAAATCCAATCTCTTGGGAAGCGAAGAGGACAGGTTTTAAAGTCGTTCGGTAAGATTCTCCCGAAGGTAGACATTTACCCAAGGCACTGATATTCTGACTCTCTCAATTACACGTGTTTGAGGGAGTTGAACGTCTTATTCTTATGAGTGGCCTATGTGAATATGAGCCAGGAGCAAGGATTCCTGAAAGTGAATTCCAGTGCAAGCCTGATATGAAAGTGGAGTTCAATCGTCGAAAGTGAGATCTCTTTTAGTCCGGTCTTCTTTTCTCTTTTGAGTCAGGTTCTTAAGACAGGACAGGAAATCGGCTTTTCTGAATATCTCTTTTCCCGCCTATGTTGTAGTTCGAGATCGAAACTGGACCTGAGAGAGACTAGACTTCTAGTAACAGTAGGTGCGCCTTCAGTTGAGGAGAGCTGTTCACAAGTAGTGGTTATGAGCTCTTTCTTATTCCGGTTCAGAAGAGGTAATTCCTTCAGTTGCACTAGTGGATTGAATAACCTTTTTTTTAGTGCCAACAAAGTGCATGTGTTGTTGGTTAATGTTAATAAAAAGATGACTTTCGATAGGCTGGAGGACTGAGACTAGAAGTAGGACAAAGGTCTTAAAAGAGAAATGAAAGGCATTTTTATTTGAGAGAGCTATGCTTAGGTCAGTTCCTTCAGTCCACTTTTTAGGTAAGCCAAAAGTTCACTTTAGGTAAGTAAGTAGTCCCGTATGAAATTAATAAAACATTCATATCTGGCACTTGAGGAGGTCAATCTTAAGTTGTTGGAAGCTACTGCTAAGGTACTCCCCCTCATCTATAAAGGATAGGCAATTGAGAGAAAATAGGACGATAGCGATAGACACAGGAACTTAAATAGATTAAAAGATGACTTCCGTAGAGGAGAGGGGAAACCTGCTTAGATAGGGTGATAGCCCGGTTTTGATTGAATATCCTTTCCTGTGCTTGTCTTGTATTGAGGTATACCGCGAAGATATGAGTAAAAGTAGGTAACAGAAGGGGAGGGATTGCTGTTTTTTATTACTGAGGGCAAGCAGCTTTCATTTTATTCAATCTAATGGTAGGGCTTGAAAGAGTAGGCGGTTCGTATCTTTCTATGACCCCCAGAATAAGAAGTAGGAGGATACGCAGAGAAAGAGCTCTTGAAGTCTACCCGGGCGCGCTTCTTCATTCATCCATTTAGGCCCGACTAGGAACACGTGGATCCAGGGAACGAACAGCTTCTTACTAGTAGGGGCGAATCACAGTAAAAGAGTCCAATCTATGAAATAGAGCTTAGTCTGTCCAAACTAGTAGAAGGCTTAGGTTCTTATTTGATCCAATAAAGTCAGAATACCTTTCTATCTAAAAGAAATGGTGCTCGATGAAACGACCCAGATTCCACACTATGCTCTGGTCTGGGGAGAGAGCTGCTCTGCGAAGCTGGGCGTTCCGTGTTCTTATGAAGGAACCATACTAGAAAGAGAATAGAAAGGGCCTTAGCGAGGGAGTG